ATGGGGTTTCTTTTCTTGGTTAAGAAAGGTGGCCGTTTCCTGACATATGCTGGTTTTGTCTACTTTTCTTATGTTCCTTCCATATGAATGAAGCAAGATCTCTGAATATTAGAGACATTCTTCAAGTTTGAGAAAACAGTGTTGCCATACGGACAGGGCTTGCAGGCCTTAGAAGAATCCAGGTGAAAGGGTGGACTATAAACCTAGTAACATAAACAGGACATAATCATTACCTGATCATCAAAGCAAAGACTGGGTCATTTCAGATAATTATTTTCTTTCTCATAATATCAGCTTCCTAGTATTTATTACAGCATATATTCCAAAAACTAACAGAGAAATGAACTGAAGATTGCCTTCATATTTAGTGGATTTGATGAGGTAATTTCTTGCCCAAATGAAAGATTATATAAATTTATATTTTAGGGAACACAGGATTTTGTGTTTGACTCAACAAATACTAATTGCATAATGAACACATATGTATTCATTAGTTAAAATTTCAACACACTGCAATTGAAAGTTACTTTGTAATTATTATTCTGCTAAAGAATGACTAAGTGATATATAAAGTATATAAGCCTGAGTAGGGACAAACCTACTTATTGTTGTATTTGAACTTAAAAATGTTGAAATCTCACACTTAAATTCTTATGAGAAAAAGGCACAATAATTTTTTAAAAACATTCATGCAAATATGTAATTTATGTCTCCATAAATAGCCCCTCCCCTGACATTGGCATTAAAACATATATTTGGTTGATAACTTTCATTTAGTGCTATTCCAAATCTGAAGGAAATGAAATGCACCATCTTCACTCTGCTCCTCCTCATATTACTCTGGCTTTTATCCAAACTTAAATTTCCCGTGTATACTCTTATAATCCACATCATCTCAAAATTCACTTTAGTGTTCCTATTGATCTTGATTTCAGATGTGAGCTCTTAAGGATTTTGTTTCTAGCATGTTTGAAAATATATATTTTAAAGCATTAACTTCCTTTCTTTGACTTTTTAATATCTACATGTTGTGATATGTTTAAAAAATCAAAAGTGATATTCAAGCATGTTCTCTGGGAATATTTGGGTTTTTTAAAAAAGGAAGCTATGCAATCTCACCCATTTAATAGTTGTTCTGCTGAGAAGCAAGGAAGAGGGAACAAATACATAATAAAGTTAAGTGTGTTGCTTAAATTCGTTCTGTAAGAGCTATACTTTCTGGTACAAATAAAGAGTTATTTAACACTAAACTCACATACTTTCCAAGGTACACCATTCAAAACTTCACCGTCTGTATGGATCCTCAGCAGCCAACTGGATTGGCCACACAACCCCCTTTTTGTAAAGAACACAGCAATGTTCCACGGGGGAAATGTTGTTTGAGTGCAATCATTTGTTAAAAGTTGAAGTCTTCATTCCATTCCCTGTGAGGATTTGAATGAGCCAAGAAGAGAGACCAAGATGCAGCCAATACCTGGTGGTCTCAGAAAGAGCCTGGATATATCTAGGCAAGAAGAGCATACATTCCTGCAGCTTCTGTAGTGATAGTGAAGAACATGTGTCATAGAGCCAGGTTGCCACATATTCAAATGTTATGTCATGTCATGTCATGTCATGTCATGTTATGTCATGTTATGTCATGTTATAGTGGAATATGTTATAGTGGAATATGGGTAATATTTAATTTAAGAGGTGCCTTCATTCTTATTAAAGATAAGGCATGGTGTTTATGTGAGGTTCTGATAATTTAAAAAGGGCAATGTGTGTGTTTTCTCTGCCAAAGTCATCTATTCTACTCATCTATTCCTGATAAAGATGAGGCTTGGCCGTGGCTCACAAGGGAACATTCATTAGATGATAAACTTGTGCTAGTTTATACCAAATGATATTCACTGAAACAAAAATTTAACGGTAATAAATTTGATTGGCTTTGTCTTTCCCATCACCCAGTATAACTTTAAGGTCTTCTTTCTCCCAACACTACTCTACATAATCTATGTGGATAATTCTTTCTTTGTAACATCTTTTTAGGCAGAGTCTAAAGTGAGATAGAATCGTAGTACTGAAATGATACCAACATTTGTGAAAGTCTTTAAAAATAATGTAATAAAAAGAATTTTTAAATTGATGTTTAGTAAGTGAAACATCATGATAAAAATGAAATAAAATTGAATATTTCAGTGTCAGAACAGCAACATTGGTCTTTTTTTCTGTTTTTTTGTTTGTTGGTTTGACAGCTAACTCCAGCTAAGTCTTCAAGTTTTTCAAATTTCAATTTATATGTTACTTCCTTTAGGAAGCCTTCCTTGGCCAGCTAAACCAAAATTAAATCTATTATAGTCCCTTACATCAAACTGGATTTTTTCATCAAAAATTGTAATTATTTATTTATTTTGGGCATTGTGTTCTGATGGACTGTTGATAAGGGGAGAGACT